TATGGTTTCAATAATTGTGCTATCCTTAGTTGAATGTTATATCAATATGTTTCTAGCATACTTTATACAAAGGACATTATTTTATAATTTATTGTATCTGTGTGTATGTACCTACTGTCTTCAGTCACTGAGTTCTAGAAAAGAAAAATTGCTAACTACTGTTAAAACTTCATGTAACCCATCCTTAAGGAATTTTTAGGTAATGCCATAAATGGGAGAGCCACAGTTCTATATATAATTGGCAATGAACATGAAAGAATTTTTACTGGTACTGAAGGCAAGACTGATTCTTGAACCACAATAGTAACTGTTGTTTTCTAGTATTTCAGGTGAAAATACTTAGGGAATGTGTCTCTAGGGAGAAGACCTCAGTGATTGAGCTAGATGATTTTTATAATCTCTCAGAAATTTTATGACTTCAACAGTTTTATGCTCCATAACTTGCAACTTTAGAAACAAGATTTATGTTAGTTAAAAAAGTGGGAAATATGGTCCTATCCAGAAGATAGGCCAACAAGATGACAGCAATATATAGCTTGTCTGTTTTTGGAGTTTATTTTTTAAAAACTTCTTAATTTAGCAATATAATGTCTTAAGAATGATCAAAACTCCTAATTGTGGTACATGATTATTAAAAGAAAATCTTTGCTATATCAATTTTGTTTCACAAGACTGTGAGCTCCTTGAAGGCAGAGGTGATACCTTGTTTGTTTTGATATCCTTACTGCCTGTCATGGAGCCAGGCCTGTCCTAGGTGCTTGAATGAAACTATGTGATTGCACATAGTTGCAAATGAAACAATGGAGTAGATGTGCAGTAATGTTGGTGAAGCTTTAAGAAATGAGGGATTCCTTTAATCCAGACGTGTCTTTATACTGAGTTTTTACTACTAAAAGAAAGAAAGCCAAGCCTATGGTTTTCCATTAAGGAGAGAGTAGGGTCTTTTTTTTTTTTTTTTCTGAAGTATGTATATTTCTGAGAGATTGCTAATCATTTAAATATAAAAATTTTAGTAGTATTCTTAGTTGCAAATAGTAGCTGATTTTAGACAAAATGCAGATGTTCAAATAAACAGTGCTAGAAATATACTTGTCTTTCAATTCTACTTTTCTTTGTGTCTCAGTAAAAAGGATGTTGCACAAGCAAAACAACAGAAATCCCCTGTAGACAGGAAGCCTGCAGCAGGACAGGGTGCCAATTGCTGGGCACTGTGTGGATGTGCACAGCCTGCTCAGCAGACACAGGGCCTGACAAAATGTGTAGTTAGCAGAAACTCATGAATTGTATTTCAGTAACTTTGAATTTTTTGCTATCTCAACATAACTTATGAGAAAGTTATCTTTACATTTAGTAAAATGGTAAGTAAATTAATATGAGTGTAGATTTCCTTAAAAACAACAGACTGGGGCTGACCCCGTGGCGCACTCAGGAGAGTGCGGCGCTGGGAGCGCAGCAGCGCTCTGCCACGGGTTCGGATCCTATATAGGGATGGCCGGTGTGCTCAGTGCCGCCGGTCACACACACAAAAAAAGACAAACAAACAAACAAACAAACAAACAAAGCCAGACTGTTTAAAGGTGCTGTGAAAGTACTATTTTCATATCAACAGCATCAAAAAAGATGCTGCTTTGGGCAGCGTTTTAGGCACTAATTCAAAATAATTGCAGTTTATTCCTTAACCTAGCTTATTTCAAGTAGTGCTTGGTTAGACTTGTAGATGTCTAACTTTATTTACTAGAAAGTAAATCATTTCATTAAAAAAAGTCCCTATGATTCAGACATCACACCAGGCCTTTGACATGACTTGCAGATGATCCATAAACATATGAGCGATTGAGGGAGCCTGGTAGAGAGTCAGGATTACTATAGTTGCTCAGAAGATGAGAGAGAATTTTAATAAGGAGGAAATGGTCAGTGAAATAAAATACTACTGAGAAGTTAAAGTAAATGAGGGTTGATAAAAATCTGTTCCATCTGATGAAACAATTTTGACTTTTGAGAAAGATTCAGTAGCATAAAGGGAATGGAGGTAGAGTAGGAGGAAGTGGAAGATGTGGAAATGTGCCAGTGATTGTAGACTACTCTTGGGAAGGTGGGCCCTCAATGAAAGACACAAAAGGGACTGTCTAGAGATGTATAAAATCATCTCGGTTGGTGAAGATATAAAGGAGATGGTGAGAGACTATGGGACATAGGTTAAAAAGGTTGTCATACTGATTTAGATAATTATTAGCTTTGATCTTCATTAGTATTCTGTTTTACTCCCCCAAACATTATCTTTAGTTTTTTCATAATTTATCATACCCTTAGAATCTAAATAAATGATGCATGATAAGTCATCTCAGTTCTAGGATTATGCCACAGTTGGCTTACGCATGGACTCTACTGAAGGTTAAGAATTGTCATAAATGGCTCAAAGGATAGGATAAGATATTAAAACAAAAGAATATGGCTATCTCTTATAGACCAAATGGACAGACACATTTCTACATTTCATTCAGAAGAATAGATTTAGAACTTCTCTGTTGACTGTTCTCTCACTGAAGAGGGAGCATGTAATAAAAATGATGTAGCTGACCTAGCATTTGCCAGCTTTAGAGTTCCCTGCTCTCCCAACAGTAACAGTTAAGTTTCAGCTTACACATCTTCTACAGGTGAGTTTTGTTTTTTTTTTTGTCCTGTTTTTTTTTATTTGTGACCGGCCGCACCGCGCTTAGCCAGTGAGCGCATCATACTGGCCATCCCTATATAGGATCCGAACCTGTGGCAGGAGCGCTGCCGCGCCGCACTCTGCTGAGTGCGCCACGGGCTCGGCCCTACAGGTGAGTTTTTAATCTGGGCTCTGTGCTGAATGTTCCTAGCAAACTGATTTTTTGTCACATCAATGGCAAGAACCAGGATTTGGGTGGCCCTAAACAATGATAATTATAACTAGTAAAACTCACCAAGCTCAGTACCTGTTTCTGGAAAATCATTGAGTACTTAGGAACAGCTAATAGCTGAGATGTGGGAGTTTCAGCTGCTAAAATTGTGGTTGATTGATACAGTTGGTATGTTTTCAATTTTCAAAAATCAATTCCATAATGAAATGTTAGACAAATCCTTTCTGGCTACTAATCTCTCAGGAATTGGGACCCCTAACTGCCTGAAGAGGCAATGTATACTTTAATGAAAGGCCTCCAGAGGTAGTCAGGGATAACCATAAGCAAAATTGTGAAGGTATGGTGTTCCTAGTAGTGCACGTAGTTTTCTTTTCCTGTGACCTGTTCTTAGAAAAGGATCTGATTAATTCAATTACATTAAGAACTATAATGATGATTATGTTTCTGTGAGGCTAAATATGTTTAAGTTAAGGGTGTTTGTCTTTTTACCCAAGAGGCGACACCTTCAATTAAAATTTATTGACCACCTACTTTGTTTTAGGTTACTGTGATGATACTAGCTTTCTATTCAACAATTAAGAAATCCTCCTGCTTTTGTAGAGTTCATAGTCTAGTGGTCAAAGTTATAACATTCTAATTATGGAATTGTAGGAGCCACTGAGCCAGATGAGGTAGAGTTTTGGGTATCAGGTTCTTGAAATCCCTCCCAGGAGGCAACTATTTATTTCACCTATGGTAAGGTTCACGCTGAAGACAATTAGTCCTAACTAAATGGGTATGTTTGAATGCTTTGTAAAATTGTTTATGCAAATTTAAGATGACGCAGGGAAACTAGTATGTATCTCAAGTGAAACTTTGTTACTTATATCTCCCCACACAAATTAGCAAGCAGACTGTTCTGTTTGTTTGATCTCTGGTAGTTAGTGTGTGTCTTACTGTCTTATTTAATCATCAAATAATGTTTTAATGTTCCCATTCAGTATTCTTTGAATTTCTCTTGTAAAGCCCTTGGAAACCTTTTTATGCCTTTAAACTCATGATTCAGACTCTCCCCCTAAATGTCTCCTGGAAGCCAGTATTGGTAGAACCTGTCAGCTAAATCTCTGGTCTCTGTACCCTTTGGCATCAGTGTTAGATCCCTGCTTTTATATTAGACTTTTTACTCCCTGGAATTATTTTATCCTTTTTATGATGGATGTCTTTGATTCAAAGGAATGTTTGAGGAAAATGCAGACTCTGTCAGATAGAAATATATAAAGGAGATTCTGATTGGGGAAGTTTGTATTCTTTGAACAAGCCACGGTTTTTGTCCTCCAGGATACATCACTGTCTACTTATTAAAGCTCAGTTTATTTGAATACAAGAAAAGAAATAAGTTCTTATTTTAAGTAGACTATAAAATGATTTTGGCTCAGCCGTGGCTTTGTAAGCAGTGTCCATAATTGATCTGAAATCTTTTTTTGTGGTTTAGAATGAGGTATCCTAGGTTGATTCTCCATTTGTAAAGAAAAATAGGGGCAGGAGGTTGTTCCCCCTAAATGTCTCCTGGAAGCCAGTATTGGTAGAACCTGTCAGCTAAATCTCTGGTCTCCGTACCCTTTGGCATCAGTGTTAGATCCCTGCTTTTATATTAGACTTTTTCCTCCCTGGAATTATTTTATCCTTTTTATGATGGATGTCTTTGATTCAAAGGAATGTTTGAGGAAAATGCAGACTCTGTCAGAAATATATAAAGGAGATTCTGATTGGGGAAGTTTGTATTCTTTGAACAAGCCACGGTTTTTGTCCTCCAGGATACATCACTGTCTACTTATTAAAGCTCAGTTTATTTGAATACAAGAAAAGAAATAAGTTCTTATTTTAAGTAGACTATAAAATGATTTTGGCTCAGCCGTGGCTTTGTAAGCAGTGTCCATAATTGATCTGAAATCTTTTTTTGTAGTTTAGAATGAGGTATCCTAGGTTGATTCTCCATTTGTAAAGAAAAATAGGGGCAGGAGGTTGTTTTTAAAAAAGGTCTTAGTGATTTATCATTTTCTTTTCTTATTTTTTGTTTGTTTAAAGTGCCTACTTCTACTTTAACATATTATTTTTCTTTCTTTTTTTTTTTTTTTTCAGATGATTCTTGGAGAAACCCTGTGTGTTTACTTTAACTTCTTACACTCAAATTCCTTTATCAGGAATAACTACATAGCCACTATTTACAAAGCCATTGGAACATTTTTATTTGGTGCAGCTGCTAGTCAGTCCCTGACTGACATTGCCAAGTATTCGATAGGCAGACTGCGGCCTCACTTCTTGGATGTTTGTGACCCAGATTGGTCAAAAATCAACTGCAGTGATGGTTACATTGAAAACTACATATGTCGAGGGAATGCAGAAAAAGTTAAGGAAGGCAGGTGAGTGTTAAATTTCTAACGCTTGTTTTATCTTGTGTATTCTTGGAATAGAAGGTTTCAGTGACCAGAAGACAAGCCATCCATTAGCTTAAAGAGATAAGCTAGTGTAATCACTGGGAGATGAATTGAAATCATATGTTTGACTTGTTCTCTCTGCTCATTCATTTTTCCTGTTTTATTCCTATCCTCCATTTAAGAGCATTTTACTGCAAGTCTTCATTGCCAATATATAAGAATGTAAAATGAATCTTATAGATCGTTTATTTATAGATTTTTTTTTTTTTTGGTAGTTAGCTGGTACAGGGATCTGAACCTGTGAACTTTGTTTTATAAGGCTGCACTCTAACCAACTGAGCTAACTGGCCAACCCCCATTTATTTATATAAAACTTTTTTTTAAGACCCCTGATAGTTAATAGACTTTGTGGACCATATGGTTTCTTTCACAACCATCAAACTGCCATTGTAGCAGGAAAGCAGCTATTGACAATACTTAAACAAATGAGTATAGCTGTGTTCCAGTAAAACTTTATTTACACAAACAGTGGCTGCCCAGGGGTCATAGTTTGCTCATCTAGTTCAAGCATTTATGAAGGTTTGCTAGGTCTTTTAGTATTCTTAGAGTATATATTTTTTGTAAGGTAACTTGGTTCAGATTATGACAGCTCAAGGTCCTCAGGTTGCCTTTTAATAACACCCTGATTGGCTCCTTTCTACATTTTGGAGCATATTAAACATGAATGAAGTAGAATGTTTAGAACCCAGAAGGTCCCACCTCCTTTAATTTACAGATGAGGAAAAAACAGTTTTTTTATTTTTGAGCCTATAATTAGTAGCAGAGCCTATTCCTCATCTTAAGTCTCAGAATTGTCAGTCCTATCATTTCTACATGGTTGACCTTCTTACATTTTAAGATTGCTTTTAATTCCCTTAGTTCATCACCCACCAAATACTTTCTCTGGGTAAAACTTTAAAAAATTTTTTTTAAAAATTTTTATACGATTTCCAGGTACTGGTTCTCTTGTAGGTAACATGGATGAGCCTGCTAGTAGCCCCCATTGTTTGCATTTAGTAGGGATGAAAAAGCACCTTATTAACTAGAGTATATATTATGCTATGTGCTGAGGATTGGAAACAAGACCTCTCTGGTCCCTACCACAGAGCTTAGTCTATCAGGGAAGACGTACATTAAACAAATGATAGAACAGAACCTTCCTGGTGATAATGAGGCCAAAGAGTAGAGAGGTAAGGTTGTTAAATGGCAAACTTTGAGGTGATAGGAACACTGATATGGGTGTAAAGTCTTAATGAAGGAGGGAAAAGTGACCAAAGAGGTAAGCAGTTGAGAAATAAATGGTAGAAGGTAATATTATTGATTTGAGCTCAGGTGAGCAAACATTTATATAAGAGGGTAGAGAAAGAATGGTCCAGAAATGGCTTTGAGGAGTGATGAAGATACCAACATCAATACTGGAGTCTTAAGGTGTGTGGGATGTGGAGATCTCATTCTCTGCTTTGTGAGCTCTACAGGGCCAAGCAGTATCCTAGGGAAAAGCTCTTTTAGTGAGTGACTAGGAGGTGTAATGAACCTTCAGGGAAGAGTTTAAAGATACAAGGAAAGATAGAGGACTTTAACAATAGAACTGAGATTCCCGAGTGTACAGTGGAGGAGTTGGGAGGAGATGAACAAATGGCTTGATTGGAGAAGAGGAAGCTTATTGGAAGTGAGACTGAAATTTAGGACAATTTAAATTTAAAGAAGAGCAAATAGCTGGGTAAAAACATATCACGAGAAACAAAGTCTAATAGAATAGAATTATCATGATTTCTTCTTCCAGCCTTTAAAAAAATGCCATATGTATTTATGAGCCCATGATGAAAACTACCTCTAAGGATTTAAATCACAAAGGAAAAGAAAAATGGAACAGAAATGAGCTGAACTACCATTTTTAAATAGCTTTATTGAGGTGTAATTCACATATCATAAAATTTACCCACTTTAAGTATATAGTTGGATACATTTTATGTATAAAGTTGTTTTCCATGACTATCAAGTTTTTGAATATTTCCATTGCACTAAAAAATTTGCTCCTGAGCCCTTGTAGTGAATTCATACTCCCATCCACAATCCCAGGATCAACTGGGACAACAACTCTGTCCCTATAGTTTTGTGTTTTCTAGAATATTGTATAAAAGGAATCATACAGTGAACATTTTTTTGTGTCTGCCTTTTTTCACTTAACGTGTTGGTTTTTTGATTCATCCATGTTTTAAATTTTTTTTTTCCTGAGGTGTATTAGGTTGTATGGATATCCCACAGTTTGCTTATCAATTCATCCAAATGTTGGTGGACATTTGGGTTGTTTCCAATTTTTGGCTTTAAAAAATAAAGCTGCTATAAACATTTGTGTACAAGTAATGTACTTTCATTTCTCTTGAATAAATATCTAGGAGTGGAAATGTTGGGCCATACAGCGTGTGTGTAGTTACCTAAGAAGCTGCCAAACTTTTCCGCAGTGGTCGTACCATTTTGCATTCTCCCCAGCAATGCATGAGAGTCCCAATTACTCCTCATCCTTGTCATTATTTGTTACTGGTCAGTCTTTTTTATTTTAGCCATTCTAGAGAGTTCTGTTGTTGTGTCTCAGTGTGGTTTTAATTTGTATTTGCTTAATGACCAGTGTTGCTGAGTGTCTTTTCATGTGTTTCTTGTCTAGTCAGCTGTTGTCATTTGTGAAATGTCTATTCAACTCCTTTGCCCATTAAAAAAAAAATGGGTTGCTTGTCTTATTGAGTTGTAGGAGTTCTTTATATACCCTGAATAAAAGTCCTTTGTTACATATATGTTTTAAAAATATTTTCTCCCAATCTGTGGCTTACCTTCTATTTTCTTAATGGTGTTTTTTGAAGTTTAAAATTTTGATGATATCTAATTATTTCTTTCTTTCATAGTTTAATTTCTAAAAAAATCTTTACCTGCCTGGAGATTACAAAAATTTTTTTTTATGTTTTCTTCTGTAAGTTTTATGATTTTAGCTCTTATATTTAGGTCTATGATCCATTTAAATTAATTTTTGTATATAATGTGGAGGAAGGGTCAATATCTATTTTTCTACATTGAATTTCCAGTTGTTCCAGTATTATTTATTAGCAAAACCACCCTTTTCACATTGAGTTACCTCGGCACCTTTGTTGAAAATGAATTGACCATGTAAATGTGGATCTATTTCTGGATTCTCCTTATATTTCATTGATCTTTATGACTGTCCTTATGCCAATACCATGCTGCAACTTTATAATCTGTCTTAAAATGAGGTATTGTAAGTCTTTTGACTTTGTCCTTCTTTCTAAAGATTGCTTTGTCTATTATAGGTCCTTTGTATTTTCTTTGCTAGAAATTTGACTGGTATTGCTTCAAATCTATAGGTCAATTTGTGAAGAATTGCCATCTTAATATTGAGTCTTCTAATCCATTAATACGGTGTATCTCCATTTATTTAGGCTTTCTTTAGTTTATCTTACTAATATTTTTTAGTTTTCAGTGTCTTGGTCTTGCACACACTTTGTTAAATATATTACAATGCTTTGAACATTTCTTGATGCTACTGGGAGGAAATTTTTAGTTTTGTTTTTTTAAAAAAATAGATTTCCAATAGTTTGTTTTGAGTGTGTAGCAATATAAGTGGTTTTTATATTGACCTTGTATTCTGTGACCTTGCTAATTTAACTAATTTATTAGTTGGAGTAACTTTTATTGATTCCTCAGGCTTTTCTACATTCCCATTCATATTGTCTGTGAATAGAGAGCTGTACTTCTTCTTTTCCTTTCTATATTGCCTTTTATTTCTTTTCCTTGTTTTTTAACACTGGATAAGACCTCCAATAAAAGGTTGAAAGAAGTAGTGAGAGCAGATATACTTGTCTTCTTCCGGACCTTAGGAGGAAGCACTTGGTCTTTCACCAATGTGATGTTACCTGTGTGTTTTTTGTATATGCCTTTTGTTAGATTTTGAAAGATTTATTCGTCCTTTGTTGCTCTTGGAAATGCAGTCAATACTCTGGTATCACAGCACAGAGCTCTCAGGATCACACTGTTTCCTGACGCGGGCGCTCCAGACCCGTCGCCATTTTGAATCTCTTCTTCTTTTCCTTTCTATATTGCCTTTTATTTCTTTTCCTTGTTTTTTAACACTGGATAAGACCTCCAATAAAAGGTTGAAAGAAGTAGCGAGAGCAGATATACTTGTCTTCTTCCGGACCTTAGGGGGAAGCACTTGGTCTTTCACCAATGTGATGTTACCTGTGTGTTTTTTGTATATGCCTTTTGTTAGATTTTTTTTTTTTTATCATAAATGGGTATTGGATTTTGTCACATGCTTTTTCAGTGGCTATCAAAATGGTCATATTGTTTTTCCTCTTTATTCTCTAGCACAGTTTATTATATTAATTTTTGAATATTAAAGCAACTTTTCATTCCTGGGATAAACTCCACTTGCTCTTGGTGTATTATTCTTTTTATAATGACTGGATTTGATTTGCTAATATTTTGTTAAGGATTTTTACATCTCTTTTCTTGAGAGTTATTGGTCTATAGTTTTCTTAAAAAGTTTTTGTGTAGCTTTGGTATAAAATTTTTGGTAATTAATGTTTATGGGATTTATCAGGAAAGCCATTTGGGCCCGTAGTTTTCTTTGTGGGAAGGTTTTAAACTACGTTTTCATCTTCTGTAATAGATACAGGACTGTTCAGGTTGTCTATTTCTTCTTGTGTGAGCGTTGGGTGTTTGTCTTTCAAGGGATTTATCCATTTCATCTGAGTTGTCAAATTTATTGGTATCAAGCTGTTCATAGTGTCTTTGTATGATCTTTTTATTGTCTGTAGGAATTGTAGAGATGGTCTCACTTTCATTCCTGCTATTGATTGTCTTATCTCTTTTTTCTTGGTTGGTGTGGCTAGAGGTTTGTATATTTTATTAACCTTTTGATTAGTTTCTTCTTTTGG